AAAAGCACACAGAATATTTCAGGAAGAACACATGCTCCAAAGCACGTTTATAAACATGGTACAGACCCACAGTTTAAGAAAGGTGGCTTCCTTATTTATTTAATGTATACTTAAGTAAGGGGCTTCCCAGCATAGTAGAAAACAATCCACCTGCCAATGCAGGAGACACACGAGACTCAGGATCAATCCCTGGGTCAGGAAGACCCCCTGGAGAAGGAAATGGCCACCCACTCCAGTATTCTTGCCTGGGAAATTCCATGGACAGAGGAGTCTGGTGAGTTATAGTCCATGGGGTCGCAAAGAATCAGTCACAACAGAGCACAGTACAGTACAGTGTACTTAAGTGAGCATTTATGACTTACATGATTTACAAACCTCTTCAGATAAAAAAATTACTCATTTCTGAAATATCTGGCTCTACAAGACAATACATCCCACAAAGGCAGAGGCTGTGCCTATCGTGGTCAATATTAGAAATATGCCTGTGAAATAAGATGGATTCAGTTAGGATCACTGAATAAATAGACTGATGAAGAGAGAAGACATTTTTCTCCCAAGCTTATTCCACAGAACTCACATGCAGATTTCTGCTAGAAATAATCTGGCCTGCTTACTGCCCAGGCTCTGCCTCTTCCACGCCTGTGCTTACCCCATTCCAGCCTAGGGTATCCATTCCTCTTCTACCTAATCATTCTCAGGTTTCACAGCCTAACTCAAATACCGACTCTCTGTAAGTCCTATTACATAATCTTCCATATACGAAAGGCACTGACCAAACACTTGAAACCAAAGTCCATCCCTTGAGAAAGCAAAGCACGGACAGTAACAAGAGGTGGCAGCTTTCTGACATTCACAGCTCACACGGTAAGTCGTTTACTCGTGGTGTCTGTGATAGCTGGGGCGACGGTTAACTTTATGTGTCAGCTTGACTGGGCCACAGGCCATGAAGGCTTCATGACTGATTCTTCGCAGTGCATCAGTGAGCGTATTTCCAGATGAGAGGAACTCAGTAGACTGAGTAACACAGATTACCCTCCCTAATGTGGGTGGGCCTCATCTCATCAATGGAAGGCCAAAACAGAACAAAAAGACTGAATCAGAGGGAACTCCCCCTGCCGCACTTCCCTGAGCTGGGGCATGGGTCTTCTACTGCTTCTGAACTTAAAGGGAGACACTGACTCTTCCTGAGCCTCCAGCCTGTCAGCTTTCAGACTGGCACTTGCCCTCTCAGCTCTCCTGGTTCTCAGGCCTTCAGACTCAAGCTGGAACTATACCATTGGTTCGCCTGGGTCCTCACTTAAAGACTGCCGATCTTGGGACTTCTTGGCCTCCATAATCATGTGAGCTAATTCCTTATAACAAATCTCTTTTGCGCTCTCACGCTCTCTCTCTCTCTCTATATATATATATATATATACACATATACACACACACACACACATACATCCTATTCCTTCTGTTCCTCTGAGAATCATAACTAATATTTAATATGGTATTTATTCTTACAACTGAGTTTTCATTCGAATCACACTACAGTTCTGAGAAGCACCGGGAACACAGGTATTACATGGTACTTAACAGGATTAAATTACTGTGCTCCCTGAAAAGTTTACAACAGCTCTCAGAAGAGACATCCACTCTTCCCCTAGGATCATCATCCAGGGGCCACTTAATCCAGTAGAAAGAGCCTCTCTGAGAACAAAGCCCACAGACGCAGGCAGAGTAGAGACGGTGAGGAGGACATGTGCACACAGTACTGTGGACATAATTCAAACCCCTGAATTCAGCTCTGTTTGACACCAGCACAAGTCTGACTTCTTAGTGATGTGAGAAAATAATTACTTAGCAAGTTAGTCTGAGTTAAGTATTACTGTTTGCAAATAAAACTGTCCTAATACAACCCCTTCAAGTGAAAAGACTGAAAAGACTGTCACTGTGGCTTTATCTAAAGTAGTGCTTACAGTCAAAGATAACTAAAACTTTAACAAAATTAAAAGGATCAACATTAATATGTCTATTTGCACACTGAAGCAGGTGCTATATAGCTCCTATAAACTCTAGAAACTTCATTATTCTTAAGCCATTATAATGTACATACCATTATGAGCATTTCTAAACTTACAACTACCAAGAGCTATCTTCAGAAGCCAAATTCTTTGTCAAGGTTTCTAGTTTTCCATTATCAAAGTTAAATGAATGCATCACTTATATTTCATTTTTTAAAATTTGTATAGATTACCTATTGACCCCATACTATATATGACAAGTGGGCACAATTATTATTAACTATTTAATGGCCACTCCTGTGAAATATGTACTATTATTGTACCACTGGAGAAGGAAATGGCAACCCACTCCAGTATTCTTGCCTGGAGAATTCCATGGACAGAGGAGCCTGGTGAGCTACAGTCCACGGGGTCACAAAGAGTCAGATACGACTGAGTGACTAACACCCATTGTGCCATCACAATCTTCATTTTAGAGTTTAATACGAGAGAGTATAATAATGTTCCTAATAATAAGAGGAGTGGAGCTCCACGTTTGTCTAGAACGTGTAATGCCCCCCATACTGCACTAAGTGCTCTAAGAGAAGCATCCCATGTAATCCTCATTTTTTAATCTTCTGAATTAGGTACTACTGTCCTTACTTTATAGATGAGGAAACTGAGGCTTAGAGAATGAAATGCAGAGCCAAGACCTGCGCTTCACATCAGAATCAGTCCACAAGCTTTGAAAAGATTTGACACTACATCCCAGTAAATCCCATACCATTATTCAAAGTACATTTCAAATTGCTGAACAAAGACCTGGGCTCATCTACGTTACATTTGTTCTTGAATTGCCATGTGATTTACATTTGTGTTTTCCTTGTTAATTCCTCACCTCTGAAAAGGTACAGATGCACATGAAAGGAAATATATACTATTCATTATAGCTCAGATGAATAAACGAGGAGCACTAAGTTATAGAATCAACACTTTCTACACTAAAAACTGCTCCAAAAGTGGGCAGACTTCAGAAACGCAATTAGATAAACATGCATAGATGTTAACAAACTAACATTAAGCCAAGAAGTTTTATTGGGGGAAATACTTGGGGGACATCTCAGGTCCTGGAAAATGCTTCAGTACAACTTCAGTACAAGTTGTCAGGTAACAGATTATCCAAAGTATATCTTTTAGAACCCTTGGGACTGTCCTGGTGGTCCAGGGGTTAAGAATCCGCCTGCCATTGCAGTGGACACAGGTTCCATCCCTAATCTGGGAATATCCCACCTGCCTCGGGGCAACAAACCCTATGTGCCACAATACTGACCCCACGTGCCCTAGAGCCTGCAAGCGGCAACTACAGAGAGCCCACGCACAGCAACAAAGACCCAAACCAACCAAAAATAAATACATACATAACATTTTTTTAAAATACATATTTTGCACAAAACTACACTTAAGCATTTTGTTATCAGAAAGATGCATATGTTTATACGTTAAGTAGTTAGGAAATGTAAGATGGCAGTTAAAGTATTGATCAATTCCATGAGACAGGTCTGAGTTTTTGGACTTCCCTGGCAGTCCAGTGGTTAACACTCCACACTTCCAACACAGGGGATCATGGATTTGATCCCTGGTCAGGGAACTAAGATTCCACGTGCCGCACAGTGCATGGCAAGCAATCCATCATTTTTTTTTTTTAAAGATTTGAATCTTATATTCATTAAGTACAAACCACAAATGCATATATGCATATATAACAAATGCAACCAAAAATATATTCATTGATAGTTTATCACTGAGAAAGCACCAATGACAAAGTTTAATATTTTCTCATACAGATTATCATTTTCTTACATGGGGGTATCAAAAGTATTCTTACTGTATGTTTACCAGGGGTCTCCCTGAACCTAACTGCAGAGGCATGGGGAGCAGAAAGAACCAAGGGGCTGGCCTTATACATCAAGCTATCAGGGGTCAAGCTCCTATGAGTCAACGCAGGCTTTCTCAGCTGGGAGTAGGGTTGTCACACACTGGCTACACATTTCATAAAATATACCTTCCTGAGTCAACAAGCAGTGGCTGAGCTCTTCAGAATATAATCAGATCTCATTTCTATATCGTGAAAAAAAATGTTTTTTAATGAGAAAGATCTTGAGAGGTTTAACAAATGTCAGGGAGCAGCTGGTGCAGCTGCCATCCTTGGAAACTTGCTGGCCTGACTCAGACAGCTGCCTAGGCCCTAAGGAAGCAGGATCAGGCATGCACATCAATGCCTGACACACCTTCCAACATTTGTTTAATTTGGGGGGAAAAAATTATTTAATAGTGATATATGGCATGCACTTATTTAACTTCAATTTCTTTTGTTTGGTAAAATTTACAGAGTTGCTTGAATTATAACATTCCATTTCAGAGCTTAACATATTTGCACTGGGTACTCTCAGAAGTCATCCCATTGTGTGTCTGCTACGTAAAGCAAATGGAGTAAAAAAAATATACCCCTTCTGTTAATTAATACTCATTAACTGTTCTGGTACTATTCCCCACCTCAGCTCCCCCAAATATATTATTTTTCATTAAACAATTTCCACTCCAAGAGTCTGGGGAGGAGTGAAGGAAGATTTCTTTCCTTCTCTATAATTTCTGAGTAGGTCCAGGAAAAGTCCCAGTTTCAAGTTCAGAAGTCTCATCATGCTGACCTTGAATAATAAACCTTATCCTTCTGGCCACAAACAGCTTTGAATCTGCAAAAGTTCAGTCATGTGCCTTGTAAAAAACAGATAAAGCTCTGAATGGATGTTTCTGAAGATGGACTGAGATTCTTCCGGGTCCCATGCAGTGTAATAGTTACTGCATCTCTTTCTAAACCTCCTACAGTGAGTGCATGAGCACATACACAAAAATATAAGAACCCTCCCTGAGACCCTGAGCCCATCACTGGACCTGGTTTGATGGTGGCCTTCTGGGCACCCCACCCTTCCCTGCCTGAGTGCAGCACATGGGACTTACTGGGGAAGTAAGACATCTCTAATTAGAGCGAGAAGATTGTTGTCAGAGTCAACATTCACCACCTCCTTGCCATCGTCAGGCTCCTGGTTCACAAGCAGAGATGTGGTTTCTGAGAGTAGCCGCAAGCTGAAGAGTCTCCACTCCACTGGAAAGACAGAGATGCCAAGAACGTGACCACGTGGAGTCGGAATGAAAACAGAACGTGTGCCTGCTGTGCTTGTTGATGTGGTCACACTTACCATTCTGGCTTTGAACCAATGACACCAAGGGGGGCAGGATATAATCAACCACCTACAAGACAAAACGCAAAAGACTCCGTTCAAATCCCAACAAACAAAAAACTAATACTGTCTGTGTGCCCGATGCACAGTGGGGTCAAACAACACTCAAAGGTCGGAGTTTGGAGCAGAGAAAGGTTTAGTTCAGGGCCCTGCAAGGGGATGAGTGGCCCATGCCCTCAAACTCCCTGAAAGCTTTCAGCTAAAGCCTTTCAGAGGCAAGGTGAGGAAGGAGTGTGGTTAGTTGTTGCAGATTTCTAGGACCAGATCCTGTGTTCTTGTAGCTGGTCACAATGTTCCCATAAAGCTTCACCAAACAAATGTTATTCTCTGCTCCGATAAGAAAGGACAAGGTCACCAGACTCAACTTTCACCCTCCAAGGCCCAGGCCTGTCTAAGAGAAAGGGACCCCATGCAGGCCAGTCCCCCTGCCCTGAATGCTGGCACAGCCCCCAGCCTGGTCCTCCCACCAGTGCCCTGCCCAGCTGAGCAGGCAGATCTCAGCTGGCAGCATCCTCAGGGCCAGGTCTCCAGACTCCGCCCAGCTGTCATCACTGAGGGAGCCAGGCTCCCAGCACCCAGTGGCCCTCAGGCTGCCCCAATAGGGGCATGGTTTTGTGGACCAACACCCAGGATGACCGCCACCACCTTTAGGCTGTGGAGGTGGGGATGGGGGAGAGGTCTGCATCTCCTCTCTGGGCCTGGCATGAGCTCTGGAGCCTGCAGGGCACAGCCCCCTGCCTGTCCCCGGGCCCCCACCTCACCCGCTGGCCTGAGGGCCTGGAGGTCCTGGGAAAGGAGGCCACAACCCACCTCTCCCTGTACTTTCTGCCACGAGGACCACTGCCCCGCTGACCATAGGCAAAGTGGGTCTCTACCACAGTCCTCGCCCACCCCCCGGGGTCACGTGCTCACTGCTAAGTGTCAGTCACACCCGCCCCGCCCCTGTTACAATATCAACCACTACCCACGCCGTTTTTCACTGACAAATCACTAGTCAGAGGGGTGAAAGACATCAACCGCCAAATTTACCCAGCATCTAAACTCTGCATGACATTTAATAAACAACCAAGCTCATTTCAACCTGAAAAAGTTTTCAGGTCAAAATGACACTGTAATCATCAAGACAGTAGTTTATCAAAACCTTCAGAGTTGATGAAAGGAACATTAGTATGTAATACAAAATCTGCCTGGCATGCATTGACATTGAACCGTCAAATTAATACACACTTAAGCTGGTGATCATTAATCAAGTTTAAACAATCATCAAAATACTGGGAAAAAAGGAGATACACAATCCTCAGGTTTTCACAAATACATCAAAGTGCTATGACAAGTTAATCTTGGTGGTTTTCAGACACAGATTCAAAAGATCTAAGTCCATTAGACATACCACCTCTATGATTCTCTTGTTATATCAGACAGAGCACTATCAAATATGGTTTGAAATCGACTCCAAAATAACAATTTACCCCAGGATGAAAACAGATGATGAAGAAAGGACAAACCACTCCCACTGTCTAATTCTCAAAACAACTGTCTCACCTGGTGAACTATTTTGGTGACAATAAATGAAATTCCTATTGTTTATACCTGCATTGATTCCTGATCCTATGATATGTATTCATTCTCACCACAGCAAAAGGCAGAAGTGGCCCACAGTCCAACACTACCCTCCTGTTTTCCAAACCAGTGAAAGAATGTCCTACACAGGTCAGCATCTCCACACATGGGTAGTGGCCCATCAGTATTACCCTGTTCTAGCTCAACTTCATAAAATAAATTTACACATGATAATATAGCTAGACAGTTGTACAAGAACCATAAGGACAAGGGATTTTTTTTACCCTCTTTCACTGAGTGATGTCACATCACTTAAAGCATACACCTCAAATTTCACAAAGGAATTTTGAATACTCTAAACTCCCAGTTATGTCAAAAGCAAAAACTATGCAAAGAAGAGAAATACATCTCACCATCAACCCCTATCAACATGCTCAACACCCACCCTGAAGGTTTAAGAGAGCATATTAAGAGAGGAGTGGGACCAAAATAAAATTTTCTACATGTCCAATTCTATAAGTCTGACCCTTAAGTATGGTCCAAAAAGCAAGACTATCAGAAGATGAATAGCCAAAAATCAATACTCTTCCCAATGTCCCTACAACAACCAATCAAATAACATAACTTTAAAAAGACACCATTTACAACAGTGATAAAATTCTAAGGTGTCTATGATATCATGACTTTTACAAAATATAAATACACACATATATATAAAATGTTTACAAATATGATAACCATTGATAACTTCTAAAAAAAAAAGCTGGAAAGCTATCATAACCATGCTCACAAGAAGAAAACAGCTAAACAAACTGAAAATCAACAACTCTTCTCAGATAAATCAGAGAAGTCAAGTCACAAAGAAAACCAACTGTCCCTAGACCTGAAGAGAAAGGCAAAGACAGAAAATCATAGCTTAACAGGAGCAGAAGCTGCCACTGGAGCCAGCAACTGGTATAAAACTTCAACAGTGGCTGACTAAGAATTGGTGTCTGAGATGATAAAACCTCCTGGAGGTCCAACCTTAGTGCAACCACCCACCTCCCAAAAGTTTTACCTCCCAGAGCCCCACCAGATTCTCAGACTGAAGACCAGAGATAAGTCTCATGCTTTTGGCAGAGCAAAGGAAAAACTAACCATTCTGAAATATGTTTAGAGCATTCTTTTCTCCTTAACAAAGGCTGGACTCAAGAGAGACTATTCTACCAAAGGCTGAACCTACTCAGGTTTACCAAAACCTGAGCTGGGGGAGAAATATCCAATTCCAACACCCTGTAAGCCTTCCCATCTCACCAACTGGGGCATGGGGGTGTGGGTGCTGAGAAGTATGTGTGAGGGTCACAGCCCAGGCGTACAGACTCAGAAAAGGAATGTGACCTAAACCTAGGGGCTGTGGCTCTCTACCCGCTCCACCACCCCTCACCACAACATCAGCGGGGCTCCTGTGTAATAACCCAGGATTACAACTGAGAGAGCTGCAAGGCACAGGCTTTATTCCGGAAGGTGCTGTTAGGGAAACCTGAAGACGACAGGATAGACAAAACAAGGACGTTACATGTTAATTTTAGCCTCTGAAACCTACAGTTACAGCAAACAGTAAACACAGCTTGGCTCCTAGCCAAAGAAACATAAAACTTCATACTAACAGCTAGCTCATTGATCTCAGGTCATTTTACCCGATATATCATGCTGGAATGAAATATTTTTAGTGCTGAGAAGGAAAAAAAAACACCAACCTAGAATTCTGAGTGAAATTATCCCTCAAGAATAAAAGGAAAAATAAAGAATTTCTCACACAAACAATAACTGAATAAATGTTTTGCCAGTAGGCTTGCCTTGTAAGAAATGTTAAGTTTCTTAGAAAAAAGGAAAGTGACATGGGTCAGACACACAGATCTATACGTTAGAAAGAAAAATAAATCAAGGTAAAATATAGTTATTGATGAGAAGTGTCAAAGAAGTCAACTCTGTGCAAATTAATCTATCAGTTCAGTTCAGTAGCTCAGTCATGTCCGACTCTTTGCGACCCTGTGGACAGCAGCACACCAGGCCTCCCTGTCCATCACCAAATCCTGGAGCCTACTCAAACTCATGTCCATCAAGTCAGTGATGCCATCCAACCATCTCATCCTCCGTCATCCCTTTCTCCTTCCACCTTCAATCTTTTCCAGCATTAGGGTCTCTTCCAATGAGTCAGTTCTTCACATCAGGTGGCCAAAGTACTAGAGTTTCAGCTTCAGCATCAGTCCCTCCAATGAATATTTAGGATTGATTTCCTTTAGGATTGACTGGTTGGATCTCCTTGCAGTCCAAGGAACTCTCGAGACTCTTCACCACCACCACCACAGTTCAAAAGCATCAATTCTTTGGTGCTCAGCTTTCTTTATGGTCCAATTCTCACATCCATACATGACAACTGGAAAAACCATAGCTCTGACTAGATGGACCTTTGTTGGCCAAGTAATGTCTCTGTTTTTTAATATGCTATGTTGGTCACAGCTTTTCTTCCAAGAAACAATTGTCTTTTAATTTCATGGCTGCAGTCACCATCTGCAGTGATTTTGGTGCCCAAAAAGATAAAGTCTCTCAGTCTTTCCATTGTTTGTCCACTATTTGCCATAAAGTGATGGAACCAGTACCATGATCTTGATTTTTTGAATACTGAGTTTTAAGTCAGGTTTTTCACTCTCCTCTTTCACTTTCATCATGAGGCTCTTTAGTTCTTCTTCACTTTCTGCCATAAGGGTGGTGTCATCTGCATATCTGAGGTTATTGATATTTCTCCCAGCAATCTTGATTCCAGCTTGTGCTTCATCCAGCCCAGCATTTCACATGATGTATTCTGCATATAAGTTAAACAAGTGGGGTGACAATATACAGCCCTGATGTACTCTTTTCCCAATTTGGAACCAATCTGTTGTTCCATGTCCAGTTTTAATTGTTGCTTCTTGACTCACAAACAGATTTCTCAGGAGGCAGGTCAGGTGGTCTGGTATTCTCATCTCTAAGAATTTTCCACAGTTTGTTGTGATCTACACAGTCCAAGGCTTTGGTGTAGTCAACAAAGCAGAAGCAGATGTTTTTCTGGAACTCTCTTGCTTTTCTCATGATTCAACAGATCCAATGGCAATTTGATTTCTGGCTCCTCTGTCTTTTCTAAGTCCAGCTTGAACATCTGAAAGTTCACGGTTCACATATTGTTGAAGCCTGGCTTGGAGAATTTTGAGTACTACTCTGCTAGCGTGTGAGATGAGCGCAATTGTGTGGTAGTTTGAACTTTCTTTGGCATTGCCATTCTTTGGGACTGGAATGAAAACTGACCTTTTCCAGTCCTGTGGCCACTGCTGAGTTTTCCAAATTTGCAGCATACTGAGTGCAGCACTTTCACAGCATCATCTTTCAGGATTTGAAATAGCTCAGCTGGAATTCCATCACCTCCACTAGTTTTGTTCATAGTAAGGCTTCCTAGGGTCCACTTGACTTCTCATTCCAAGATGTCTGGCTCTAGGTGAGTGATCACACCATCATGGTTATCTGAGCCATGAAGATCTTTTCTGTATAGTTCTTGTGTGTATTCTTGCCACCTCTTCTTAATATCTTCTGCTTCTGTTAGGTCCATCCCATTTCTGTCCTTTATAGTGCCCATCTTCGCATGAAATAGTCCCTTGGTATCTCTAATTTTCTTGAAGAGATCTCTAGTCTTTCCCATTCTATTGTTTTCCTCTATTTCTTTGCATTGATCACTGGAGAAGGTTTTCTTATCTTTCTGTGCTATTCTTTGGAACTCTGCATTCAAATGGGTATATTTTTCCTTTTCTCCTTTGCCTTTATCATCTCTTCTTTTCTTAGCTAAGGCCTCCTCACACAACCATTTTGCCTTTTTGCATTTCTTTTTCTTGCAGATGGTCTTGATTCCTGCCTCCTATACAATGTCATGATCCTCTGTCCACAGTTCTTCAGGCACTCTATCAGATCTAATCCCTTGAATCTATGTGTCACTTCCACTGTATAATTGTAAGGAATTTGATTTAGATCATATCTGAATGGTCTAGTTGTTTTCCCTACTTTCTTCAACTTAAGCCTGAATTTTGCAATAAGGAGTCCATGATCTGAGCCACAGTCAGATCCTGGTCTTGTTTTTTCTGACTGTATAGAGCTTGTCTAACTCAATGAAACTATGAGCCATGCCACGTAGGGCTACCCAAGACAGACGGGTCATGGTATAGCGTTCTGACAAAATGTGGTCCACCGGAGAAGGCAATGGCAAACCACTTCAGTATTCTTGCCTTGAGAAGCCCATGAACAGTATGAAAAGGCAAAAAGAGAGGACACTGAAAGATGAACTCCCCAGGTCGGTAGGTGCCCAATATGCTACTGGAGATTAGTGGAGAAATAACTCCAGAAAGAATGAAGAGATGGAGCCAAAGCAGAAACAACACACAGTTGTGGGTGTGACTGGTAACGGAAGTAAAGTCCAATGCTATAAAGAACAATATTGCATAGGAACCTGGAATGTTAGGTCCATGAATCTAGGCAAATTGGAAGTGGTCAAACAGGAGATGGTGAGTGAACATTGATATTCTAGGAATTGGTGAATTAAGATGGACTGGAATGGGTGAATTTAACTCAGATGACCATTTTATCTACTACTATGGGCAGGAATCCTTTAGGAGAAGTGGAGTAACCATCATAGTCAACAAAAGAGTCTGAAATGCAGTACTTGGATGCAACCTCAGAAAAGACAGAATGATCTCTGTTCATTTCCAAGGCAAACCATTCAATATCACGGTAATCCAAGTCTACTCCCCAACCAGTAATGCTGAAGCTGAAGTTGAATGGTTCTATGAAGACCTACAAGATCTTCTAGAACTAACACCCAAAAAAGATGCCCTTTTCATCATAGGGGACTGGAATGCAAAAGTAGGAAGTCAAGAGGTACCTGGAGTAATAGGCAAATTTGGCCTTGGAGCACAAAATGAAGAAGGGCAAAGGCTAACAGAGTTTGGCCAAGAGAACATACTGGTCATAGCAAACACCCTCTTCCAACAACAGAAGAGAAGACTCTACACATGGACATCACCAGATGGTCAATACCAAAATCAGACTGTTTACATTCTTTTCAGCCGAAGATGGAGAAGCTCTATACAGTCAGCAAAAACAAGACTGGGAGCTAACTGTGGCTCAGATCATGAACTCCTTATTGCAAAATTAATCTATAATTCCAATATAAAACACATAAATATTCCAACCAGGTTGTGTGAATTTCTCACACTGATCCCATAAAATATTTGGAGAGAATAGGGTCAAGAATAATGGAAAAATGTTGAAAGGCATGAAGCAGACATGGTTTCCAGGTTTACTATGATGGGAAGAAATAAGCTGGTACAAACAAAGGGCTAGACAAAGAGATTCATGAAACAAAACATATAGCCTAGAAACAGACACATACGGCAGATGTCTAAATGGCAGATGGACTACTAGCAATAGTGGAAAAACATGCCCAGAAAACACCTGGCAATGTGTAGAGACCTTTTTGATTGCTGCAACTGAGGGGAGCCTCCAAATCGACTATGTAGAGGCCAGTGATGCTGCTAAACATCTCTCAATGCCCAGGACTGCCTCCACAACAAGGAACTGCCCATCTCCAAACATCCAGAGTGGCAAGGTTGAAAGTGAGAGTGTTAGTCGCTCGGTCATGTTTGTGATCCCCATGGACTGTAGACCACCAGTCTCCTCTGTCCATGGAGTTCTCTGGGCAAGAATACTGGAGTGGGTAGCCATTCACTTCTCCAGGGGATCTTCCCAATCCAGGGATCAAACCTGGGTCTCCTGCATTACAGGCAGACTCTTTACCATCTGAGCCACCATGGAAGCCCAGTGCCAAAGCTGAGAAACTCTAGGCCAGGAATAACAAGGGGCACTCTGTGAGTAAGGTGTGGACCAGAAGGGAAAGAAAATAATAAGCAAAGAAAAACCCCCAAATAAGTCAACAAGGTAGGGAGAGATTTCTTAGGTTCATCCTGTCCAGGGTCAGCTTTTCTCAATAGTTATTTCATTGTGAGGAACATGTATGACCAAGTATATGTAAATTAATCTCCCTATAGACAGTTACCAAGTAAGTCAAAAAATATCTTTTTCAAAAGCAGCCAGAACTGACCGTAGAGCAATAGTCTTTCAATAAAATAGGATACTGTATCACTGCTTCAAAAGCCAATAGCGTGATCTTGATAAATTCTTCCGATGCCATCATTCCTAGAAATACAGTTAATTATTATAGATGTTTATTTACATGTCCAAAGTCACAGTATCAAAATCTTCAAGCAAAGATGCAAAATATCCCATGATCTACTCACCTACAGCTCCATCTATGTTAGTTTCTCCTGAGTCTACTGATTTAATATGACTCTGAAAAAAACATAAAAATGTTAATAAATGGAGATTTTAAAAGAACTCTGATGTAAAAACTCTGCAGAGGGAAAAAAAACTGAACATATGAGCCTATGTGTGTTCACCATGATTTACTTCGGGTAGTAGGAATCAAGTGATTTTTATACTCTTTTTACATTTTTCTACAGTTTCTAAATTTCATGTCATAAGTAGGCACTAATTTCTTTATCCCAAAGGGGAAAGATAACATTCTTAGGAAGTCTCTGATTGAGTTAACACACAAAAGTCATTAGAATTTTTTTTCAACATCAAATCCCTATTTATTCAGCAAAAGTCATGTCCCTATTTTGAAATCAGGTGAAATTATTTCAGCCAAATTATATACGTAATAAATAAGAGACATTTTAACAATTTGGCTGAAATAATTTCACAATTTGATGTTGAAAAATTCAAAGAAAGGTATCTTTCAATTTCAATAAATTTACTTAAATGTCTACAGCTTAAGAAAGAGACAGTGTTAATACTACAATTTTTCTGTATAATTTTTGAAGAATATGTAGATAACACATGAACATAGTTGTGGACAGAGATTTTTGAGGCATTAATCACAGGAACCATTCACAGAGGCTCCCTGTGAAGAAGAATACTGGATCAGGAGGTATACTTTCACTACTCATTTTCTGCCTTTCTGCACTGTTAGAATTTTCTAACTAGGTACATGTATTATTTTTTTCCTTTTTTTTTTAACAGCAACAAGAGTTTTCTAGATGGTGAAACCATAAGGTTCTTTTAATTTATTTTCTTCCTTATACTTCCCCTGTTTAATTTTTAAAAATCCCTACTGAATGTTTCATTGATTTGCCAATTTAAATCTCTCTGGGTCGATTTCTTTCTCTTCATTCTCGGTGTAACAGGAATTAATCAGGTGAAAGTGAGGACAGGGCAGGAGACACTGGAGATTCAAGGAGAGGAGGGAATGTATGAACAATCATCCAGGTGAGCGTGAAGGTATATAAATTAGGAAAAGGAACCTGATGTCCCAGTCTGCAGAGAGGACTCGCTTGAAGTAAGCAGTCATGAATTTAAAGTGAGACCAGCTATTTTCCTCATGTTTTTCTCGAGCCATACTTAGTCACTCAAAGCAGGGGTGAGGGAGGTAGAGAATTAAAGTGAACCAGCACTTGGGTTTGCCGGAGGAGGACAACGGAGGAAGGGACAGGAAAGGGATCACATGTATATGCAACGTAGGGATAGGGGCTGAACCAGGGACTCGAAGCTCAGGGAAACCGGGCCCAGGGAGGGCAGGATGGTGAGAGCAAAGTGGTAAGGCCAATTTAAGTCCCGGAGGAATTAAAGGACTGTTGGAGATGAGGAGCGGGGGTAGTGAGCTGAAAATTAGGTGTGGTAGCCACAGAGTATGATGTTGAAAATAAGGCTACAGGTGGAGGCCGCTGAGGGAGGGAAAGACACACCCATGGGAAGACAGGTGGTCGAGGAGCTGAGAGGATGAGGTGCTAGAAGGAACCTCCACAGAGATACCTGATTCTCTAACAATGACAGCGAATCTGGTGCTGAAAGACCATGGCAGTGAGGGGGAATGACCCAGAAAAATCTGTAGATGGCCACACTACACCAGGCATCTTCTGATGGTGTGAGCTTCAAAGCTGAGTACAACAGAGGAGCAGCCAGAGTGGGCAGCTACTCCACAACTAGGCTCATCAGGTGGAGGACTGTGGGGCAAAAGTACGACCCCATCTAGGAGGGGAAAAGGAAAGACAGCTATTGACTCCAGGGTAGACCAGTGCCCCACATTACTGTTCAGTGCTTCTGAGAAGCTGAGAATAAGTTCTCTAAGCAAGGTGGGTATATGACTTCAGGGTGTGTTAAATTTTTTTTAAATAAACAATTTTTAAGAAAAGGAAAAATCTTCCTAACAAGAACACTCATGTGGCAATGAACAAATATAAAATATCATTTTTTTTTTAATATAAGGGAATCCTTTGGCAGTCCACTGGTTAAGATTTGGCGCTTTCATTGCCAGAAGCTAAGATCCCACAAGCTGTGTGACACAGCCAAAAAATAACAAATAAAAATATAAGAGTACCCGCTCTCTGCTTTATCTTCTACAGCTGAAGTCAAAATCTATCAACAGACCAACACTCACTTAAAATAAAAATCTGGAGAGGGTCTTTTCTCAAAGCCCAGGATTGGCAAATCTATTGATGATGGATATTATAATCACATTCTGGTGTGAAAACCAGAATCATTTCATCATTTCTTTCATTTGAAAATCTGAATTTTTCTTTTTGTAAAAAACTATAACCACCACATAACCACTGAACTTTCATAAACTAATGAGGCCAGAACTCAAGAATAAACACAACTAAGTCCTCTTCCTCAGCTCATTAGTCAAGAGTATTTTCAGAAGGACACAAGAAACACAGTGAACATGATGAGTTTTCAAACAGATTTCCTTAATAGCATTGCTTCCTGTTTCCCAGCCCAATTCAGTGAAGGTACGAAAGAACTAAGCTGAAGTTCACCTTGGAACTTCCCCATAGCACCTCCCCAGATGCTTTACTGCGTCAAGTGTCCCTGGGTACCTTTTTTTTTCCCCCTCTTACTGGAGAGGGAGGCAGGTACAATGACACATTGCTTCTGCCAATAAAGAAGTAAAAACAGCAATCATCAGCTGTATAGTCCTCTTTGGCCTGGGCCCTTCGAAAGCTTAATAATGGTTTAAAACTGTCCTACTAAATTGCTTCCAAACACGTGCCTCTTTAAATCATAAAGAGACCAAACCTTCCTTTTGCTTGGGGGGAAAAAAAAAAAAGCTAAAGCCTACACTCAGGCCTCCAAATATAAAAAGTATCCCGAATTCTTCTACCAAAATAAATTTTTAAAAAATGATACCTACAGGTCAAAAGGCAAACCATGCCTACCAGTATGAAAACAGAAACCAATGGGAAGCAAACTTCCAACAGCCCCTCCAGCCTGTGCCTTCAGGACCCTTCTAATGAGCGAAGATCACACCAAGTATGGCTGCTGTCTCCACCCACGTGAGCAGGCCAGCAACCCCTGGAGAGTTCCTTGAGCATAAAAGCCCAAGAAGTTCTTAGATAACAGCTACTAATGGCGGACCAAAAGCCTGAATACCTCAAATTAATGTGCATTTTTAAATATAAAGGGCTTCCCTGATAGCTCAGTAGGTAAGAAGCCGCCTGCAATGCAGGAGACCCCAGCCTGATTCCCAGTCAGGAAGATCCACTGGAAAAGGGATAAGCTACCCACTCCAGTATTCTTGGGCTTCCCTTGTGGCTCAGCTGGTAAAGAATCCGCCTGCAATGTGGGAGACCTGGGTTTGATCCCTGGGTTGGGAAGATCCCCTGGAGAAGGGAAAGGCTACCACTCCAGTATTCTGGCCTGGAGAACTCCATGGACTGTATATAGTCCAGGGGGCTGTGACTGAGTGACTTTCACTTTTCTTTCTTAGAATATAATAGGACAACAGACCTGCCTGTTGTCCTTTTACAGCCTGTTGTCCTTTTATATTTGCCTTTATTTTCCATTTTTCTGTATACATATCATTTTGGTGAGCAGCCTCAATTGAATATTTTTTCTAAGAATAAAACTGGAGAGTAATTATTTCTGATAGTAGGTACTTTAATGTTATCTAAAGAGCTTCCCAGGTAGTGCTAGTGGTCAAGAACCTACTTGCCAATGCAGAAGACCTAAGAGACGTGGGTTTGATCCCTGGGTTGGGAAGATCCCCTGAAGAAGGAAACGGCAACCCACTCCAGTACTCTGGCCTGGAGAATCCCACTGACAAAGAAGCCTGCTGTGCTCCAGTCCATGGGGTCTCAAAGAGTCAAATATAACTGGGTGACTGGGCATGAGCACCAGGAAAACAAGGCTTTCCAAGCACAGTGCTAAAGGTGTACATGGGAACGGTGTGGTCCCCCTATGCTCCCAGGATGGGAGAAGCACCATGCGCTGGCCTACATGGCATTAATAGCTCTGCAACCTTCCCACACCCCACCTTCTGCCCCCGCTCCCAAAAAAACCCCACACAAATCAACAAACAAACCCTCTTAACTCCAGGGAAGCTTTGCCTAGACAAAACTTAAAATAATTGGTCTCAAGCAGAAAACTCAAGGATTTCAATGTGCAGATCCTGCACCGTGAACTTCCAAGGGGTTTTTACTCCGTCCAAGGGAGGAGTAGACTATGCCTCTGGCACTGGAGGGACACTGTAACTAACAACAGTATTTGTGGCATCTTCTGGACAGACTGTGGATCAACTTACAGAGGCAACAGACAACTCTCAACAGCTCACAGAAACACGCACCAGAACTGGGTGGATAACTACAGCCAGGTCCCTGACTTCAGTCAACGCTTCCTCTCCCTGGACTAGTGTCTCATCACTGCGGCCAACACTAAGTCAAGAAAGACGGACGCACAGCTAAGGCCAAATAACAGACGCAGTAAAAAAAAATTACAAAAGAAGAACTCTGGAACTGGCCGCGACTCAAACTAGGAAAATGGCCCAAGCAGAGCCAAGAGACCTTTTCCACTGTGTGTGTAAACTCCTATTACTTGAGCAACATCATCAAGGGAAAGACTGCTAAAGAATTTTCAGTATCGCAGTTACCTTTGAACCAAGCAAGTTATCTTCCATTCCCTGAAAGTGCCTATATGAAGCAAACCCTTACTGAGCCATCCCCCACCCCTCAAAGGGTGCACTCCCTCTTGGGAGAAGGTGAGATGGCCCTTCCTCGGCGGGAGCAGATGGGTTACATGAAGTAGAGGTTACATGTCTCCCTGAAAGACACAGATGAAAGTCCACAAAGACTTCTATATTGGAGTTCCTGATAGTTCCTTGAAAATCTTGATAGTTCCTTGAAAATCTAAACTGTACTCAGTTAAAGTAAGCACAGCAAAGTACTACAAGAGGGAAAAATAAAGAGAATGAACACAGGACAACTCTACCTAGCCAAAACAAACAAACACTGGGCCAAAATATTCCAAGGAGGGCTGCAAGGGCAAAATTACTATTATCAGGAATCAACATATCAGTGCAATGGAGGTATAAACATAGAACTATAGTGCTGCTAAAAACGATACCCATGTTGTCCTTAAAAAGATTAGAAAGCATATTAAAGGAGGTGGCAAACAAAATTCTCACAATTTGCAAATCCATGAATGTGCTGCAAAAATTATATGCTTTGTAGAATTCAAGATTCAGGGATGATAATGATCTGAAGTTGAGTACAAAAGAGCCTATATTGCATTGACTAAACACACTGCTTACAAAAGTCAGTGACCTCTCTACTCAAGAGTCATACTTCAAAACATCATACATTACTGTATGATGAACCTTCTAGAAAACTATATCCTCACTTGTGGATGGTAATCATTTTTTTTATTCCAAACCAGCAATAAAATTGAGATATTTACTTCATTTTAACGAGATACCTATCTGATATGGCATTTTTAAAATCTCAGCTCAGCGTTTATTATTAACATCAAAGGAAGACAGAATAGGCTGCGTGACAAATGTTTTCGTTTTCCCTTTGTACAGCTCGTTGTTTTATCAACAGTATATACTTTTAAGTGTTCCAGGCAAGGGGAAAAGATAACATAATTCACGAGCCACAACCTTAACAAAAAGACTATTTTTCTTGTGAGCAAAAATCGAAGTGAAAGATAATACAGTGATTTGTTTTTCACTGCTACTCATCTCATTAAAATTAAAGATAAGCTTAAATTGAGCTCCACTTAAAGAAATGTCATCACAGAAAGAGACACTGCATGCACATAGCTGGACAATGTTAGCCAAAGTAAATTATAATACTATGTTTCCAGAATTCCATTTTTACCAATTTCATTATATTAAATCTTTTCATGATGTTTAATACCAAACACTATGAAAATCTTTTCTATGGACTTATTTACCCTACCTGGGTCTGTCTCTAAACAAAATGCATTATCAGGAGAGAATGTATTTTTCCCCAAATGTCAAATTTTATTACAGTCAACAGATAAAAATATAAAAAGGTCACTTCCCTAGAGACAAATAAATACCACTAAGATTTTAAAATTACTTCATTCTGACACCAAATCCCACAAACAGTAGGGACAGCCACATTTTTATTAGGAACATGAAAAATTCAGCATTACTCACAAGAATAGTTCCGTAACTGAAAAGGAACTCTTCTGTTACAACTTGAGGTCGAAATACCTGTGTGATGAGAGTTTCCATAGATTAAATCCTGAAAGCCATGTATAAGAAAGAAATGATAATGTTGTGTCTGAGTTGATGTTTCTCAGCTCCACTTTTTTCCCCAAAAAAGATGATACCTGAGACGTTACCAGGTGAAGCACTACAGGCATGAGGGGGAGACACATCTTCAGCTGCTTCGCTTGAACCGTGGATGGGTGTTTACGACCAGAAACATTAGCCAGGGCGTTAAGAATGTCACCTGCAAAGCACATCCCAGAGCGCACGTGAGGTTAGAGACCACAGATGCTCAGGGAGCACTAGCTGTGGGCTGGGTACTAATGGGATTGCTAAGGGAAATAATCTCTCCAAATTAAAGAAGTGGGTAGAAGCTGCGTTGTTTTATTCCCAACTTTTGACATTACAACAGAAAGCTGTGGCCTCTGGGGACAAGATGGATATAAGACTGATCTCTCATCTGGAAATTTAAAGTAGAATACAAAAATGATTTTTTTTTGTACTTTCCAATTATCAAGCATGAGTATCCATTACTTTTGTAAACAGGAAAAAAGTTATTTTAAGAATTACAAGCTAACAGGTCATAGATTAGATTTCTCTGGTAATAGAATAGGATGGTAGAAATAAGAGCTCAATTCCCAAAACTTCTCATTGGATAGCCAAGTCGAATAATAAATAAACCTTGCCTTGCTAGACACATGAATCTCATCATCTCCTAAGACAAGATGAGTCATGTAAAAAGAAAGTCAGCTACCAATTGACCAGATTGTGGCCTTTGGTCTGCAGATTTTAAAAGGGTTACAATCCAAATAAATTTTGAAAAGCTCTATTTTCAGTCACGAGCAGGCAAAAATCTCCCACATTATTAGTAAGGAGCAAAAAGTCACTGTCAATCAGCCATGAAGATATTTTCATTAATTTCATTTAATATTCTGAATTTCTGAGTCTAAATATCTTTTACCATAACGGGCTGGATCAAATTTAAACATTTCTGGTTTATAGCCACATCTGCTGGGAAAGCATGGAATGCGATTTTAAACTAAATGTACACATTCTTTACATGATTTTTGCATCTGTAAATAACAGTGGAATAACAGATTTTGTTAGCTGTAATAAACATCCTTTGCAGATCATTATTACTTTCATCTTAAATTTTTCAAACCAATGAAATTTTCAAACTTTAATATCAAAATTTTTTAATATTAAATTTTGATGCCTATGTATTTTTAAATTATTGTAAGAGAAAATAAATTTGTGGTTACAACCTGAAGGAAAAATGTTTTTCTTCCGAATTGTGCAAAGAGAAATCTTGAGAGAAGTTCCTAAAATGATAGCTTAAGTCCAATTTTCACCAATTAAAATTCTTTCCTTTTCTTTTTCAGGACTGCGAGATGACACCTCAAGGTAACCTAATTTAGCCCTTTAGCCTACTCATTGCCTCAATCATGTCACTGATACAAAATATTTATGATAACAGATAGGGCACGTTGAAATTTTGAAACTACACATTCAAGAAGTGTCATTGCACTTGCCTGTTAAAAACAGACCATTGAGAACAAAAAGAGAAGAGATGCCTAAAAGCCAAGTCACAGAAAGGTAAGCAGGAAGGGCCTAAGGATGGATGAGCCTCCAATTTACCCAGGATGCGTGGCAGCTCCTGCACCAAGTGACGGATGAGCAGGTCAAGGCATCGGGACAGGTATTCATTGCCGCCTTGCTGCTCCTTGCCTGGAGTGGTCTTTCTGCTGTCTCTCTCGATGTACATCACCAGTCTATACACAGAGAAGGGCCAAAGATTACCTCTCATGATAAAATAGTAGATAGCATCTGCCCGAAAATGCCACCATGGCAAGTGTTTCCAGGGGGCACCGCCCCCATCATGTTGACATTTAGATATGGAGCGACTTGTCGGGCACAGTCTTTTTCTGCCTTAGAAAAATGAAGACGTTTATGCAGAGAGAAAATAAGGCAACTCTGAATATCTCTGCCAGTGTATTACAAAACGACGCCCTGACTTCATTTGCCTTTGGCCCATTAAAAGAAACCCCACATTCTTCAAATGACAGATGAAAGGCAAACAAAAGCATCTGGAGAGAAGAGGGCTTCAGCATTTAGAAGATTCAAAGTAGAACCACCAGTTGCCGGCACGTTCGTTGGACATTAGTCTTAAACTTGCTCTGAATCCCAGGCAAGTCATAGAAATTCCAGTTCTTTCACTAAACTGTGTATATAAATCCAAAGAAAATGATTTATTTCAGCACTGGATAATACAGAGAGCAGATGCCATCTGAACACCTGGATTTCACATGCCCTTTTGTCCTCTGGTTTAATGATATCTGTCTCTTAATAAACTTATTTCTTCTTCAAACCAGTGGCATTTGTTATCATCCATCTCTGAACCAATAGCCTCCAGCCCAGAACTAGGGGACTTGTTGAATCATCACTCTGGGTACCAAGAGTATTGCTGAAAACTGTTAGGCCCACACTTCCTTCCCTTCGCTAGACCCACTACCCAAGTTCCCAGTCCCTGCAGCTCTCTAAAGGGCAATGAGTGCCCTGACTTCAAAGGCCTCTTGATTGCAATCCCCCTTGCTGGACTCCTCTTGTCATCATCAACCATCTCTCCAGCTCTGTTGCAGTCATCATCCCACCCAACTTCTGCTTCCCAAAACTTCGCAAAACTCCCACTGTAAACCAGAAAAGGGTGGTTCTAGACACAATACACATACATAACATACACTGAAATCTTAACATTCAGAGATGGTTCTCTTAGTAGATTTATGCATCCTTTTGCCTTCTTGCTGGTCACTATTTGTAGCTCTATTAGTAAAGACCTGGGAATGAAACCCAATCAAAAGTTTAAGATCCATATAAGCCAGGTGGCATCTCTGTTTCAGTTGCTGATTAAAGCCCTAGTCACACTCTAACAAATACAAGACACTGCTCAAAATGTAAAGTAAATCCCGATGAATCCATAGAAATATATTGCTATGACTTAAAAAACAGAGCACAGAGCTCCATGATGATAAGTGAGCCAAAGAAACGAGACCCTAATCATTTCATGGTAAGAGGAATCCAAAAGCGTCACATAAAATGGGATGTGATAGAAGTTGTGATAAAATGAATGGCATCAGCCTGGGGAGCCAGCCAGCCTGGCGTTCCTGACAATCCACAGCAGGACACACTATCGCTGTGGCCCAGGGCTTCCAAGCAAATAGCAGCCGCTCCAGGAACCTCTTGATCAGCTGACTCCTGTTCCATCAACCCAACTAAGGAGCAGGACCAGAAAACACCATCTTCCTTTATGGTTCCCCAAGATGGCGTTGCCTGGTATCTCCCTGCCTAGTCTCGCCATTTGCTGAAAAGCTTTATTCAGCATTAAAGATTCTGGCATTTAACTGTAGCCCCTCCAAGCTAAGTATTTCAAACATGCCCTCGACTGTACTGACTACAATCTGCTCTTATTGCTACGTGCACGCTCCTCCACCGTGACAGCTCCTCAGCCTCCAAGGAGCTTCCCCTGATCAAACCCGACACTGCCTCCCAACCCAGGACGTCGTCTTTCAAAACCCAGGACATCATCTCCCAATCCAAGACATCTCTGAAAAAGTGCTTCCTTTTCCTTACTTACTTCCTGCTTCGATTGCATTCTATCATCTATCATTTCAGTACACTCTTTTTTTCACACCCACGTGGTCAAATGATCCCGAAGAATCCAGTGATCTATACACTTCCTGTATGCCTGCAGAGAGGCTGCTGAAGTTAAATATGGAGCAGAGTCACTCCGTTGTAAAAGGATGATACCAATACTCAAGGGCACAAAACAGGACCAGCACTCAGCCTATCTCCAAAATTTTCTTCTCTTTAAACCCTGAAATTTCCATCCTCTTATGAGATTCTCAGTGAGTGATTCTGCCTCCTACTATACAGAGAAAATAGAAAGCATCATGAAGAAATTCTTCCTAAATCTAGACTTACTGTGTGTCCTATCCTGGCCTCCTGGCCTCCCGGCCTCCCATCACAACCACTGACCTCTCTCTCCTTGGAATTCTGTCTGGATCACATTCCCTTCCCTTTTCTCAGAATCCTGAAACAGCCAGTTCCTTGTTTTCCATTTTGTATGCTCACTCTCTCCCATTTAACAAACTACTTTTCCTGTACTTCTAGCAACTGCCCCATGGTCTCTCTCCTCCCTTTCTCAGGAGAACCTCTTAAGAAATCAATCTACTTCCAATATCTCCTTTGCTCCTCTTAACTTCTTCCACCCACCACAATCTGCTCTCACTCCCATCACTTTTCTAATGAGTCAGCTCTTTGCATCAGGTGGTCAAAGTACTGGAACTTCAGCTTCATCATCAGTCCTTTCAATGAATATTCAGGACTGACTTCCTTTAGGATTCACTGGTTTGATCTCCTTGCAGTCCAGGGGACTCTCAAGGATCTTTTCCAACACCACAGTTCAAAAGCATCAGTCTTTCGGTGCTCAGCCTTCTTTATGGTCCAACTCTCACATCCATACATGACAAACTTCTTGCTTTTTGGATTTCTCTGGTTTACGAACCATGAGTAGGAGTCATCTATTCAAAACTTAAGTGTTTTGAAAATATGAAGTAGTATCAATGCTCTACACAGCCAATTGAAGAAAAAAACAAACTTTAGGTGATGTAACACTCAATTACACAACATACCCTACCAGATGATAAATGGTGAGTGTCCGCAAAAATATTACCTCCTTTTCGTAAGAACTACAGACCTCCATTTTCTCACTATGCCAAGCCACAGTGACTTTAAACAAGAGGTAAATCAACAGCAACATCACAGGAGTATCCCAAAACTTTATTATGGCCTGTGGCCCATTATGATTTCAAAGTTATTTTTCTCCTTTCCTTCAGTAGGGTCACTCTTTCAACTTGACAATACTGACAGAGATTTCAACAAATCTGGCTCTAACTCCCAGCCCTACCACTTTCTAATAGCGTGATCTTGAACAAATTTCTTAAGCTCTTTATACCTTCAGTTTTCTCATTATAAATGGGATAACAATGCCTACCTTGTAGGATTGCCATGAAGATTAAATGAGAAAATTGTCTGGGGTATAACACAAGGTACATACTCAAGACATGTTAGCTGCTGTTATTACTAATAATAGTTGCTTCTATGAATTATTAAAATTAATGACCACCACCAAAATGAAGACATTGTTTTCTGGAGTGAACAGATCTTAAGAGAACATTCCCAGGGAAGGCCACCTCTGCTGTTCATCCTATTCTCTAACTCACAAAGTCACACAAAGAGAGACAGATACTATCACTTATATGCAGAATCTAAACAACAGCACACATGAACTTATTTACAAAACAACTTAACAGTTACCAAAGGCAGAAGGGTAGGAAGGGATAAACTGGTAGTACAGGGTTAACAGACACACAATACTATATGAAACATAGATCAACAACAAGGATTTACCATATAACACAAGAAGGAAACGTAATTCATTATCTTACAACAACTATAATGGGAAAGAATTAGAAAATATAGACATATATATATAATCAAGTCACTTTGCTATACACATGAAACTAACATAATATTGTAAATCAACTATAGTTCAGTTTTAAAAAAATAAAACAAAGAAATGGGACCTCAAATGTTCCACTTCACAACACTGCCAAATGGTTTCCCAAAAGGGTTGTCTCAGTGGCGTACAAGTTCTCCAGAGTTACACCTCACCAGAATTTAGTAGCATCAAATTTTTGCTCATTTCTATTTTGTGGTGTTCTCTTGGCAAAACCCTATTAGCCTTTGCCCTGCTTTTCTTTACTCCAAGGCCAAATTTGCCTATTACTCCAGGTATTTCTTGACTTCCTACTTTTGCATTCCAGTCCCCTATAATGAAAAGGACATCTTTTTGGGGTGTTATTTCTAAAAGGTCTTGTAGGTATTCATAGAACTGTTCAACTTCAGCTTCTTCAGCGTTACTGGTCAGGGCATAAACCTGGATTACCGTGATATTGAATGGTTTGCCTTGGAAACGAACAGAGATCATTCTGTCGTTTTTGAGATTGCATCCAAGTACTGCATTTCAGACTCTTTTGTTGACTATGATGGTTACTCCATTTCTCCTAAGGGATTCCTGCCCATAGTAGTAGACATAATGGTCATCTGAGTTAAATTCACCCATTCCAGTCCATCTTAGTTCACCAATTCCTAGAATATCAACGTTCACTCACCGTCTCCTGTTTGACCACTTCCAATTTGCCTAGATTCATGGACCTAACATTCCAGGTTCCTATGCAATATTGCGCTTTACAGCATTGGACCTTGCTTCTATCACCAGTCACATCCACAACTGGGTGTTGTTTTTGCTTTGGCTCCATCCCTTCATTCTTTCTGGAGTTATTTCTTGACTGATCTCCAGTAGCACATTGGGTACCTATGGACCTGGGGAGTTCCTCTTTCAGTGTCCTCTCTTTTTGCCTTTTCATACTGTTCATGGGGTTCTCAAGGCAAGAATACTGAAGTGGTTTGCCATTGCCATCTCCAGTGGACCACATTCTGTCAGACCTCTCCAGATAATCACGATGAGATCACTCACCAAGTGCCAGACAATCTGGAATGTGAAGTCAAGTGGGGCTTAGGAAGCATCACTACGAACAAAGCTAGTGGAGGTGATGGAATTCCAGCTGAGCTATTTCAAATCCTAAAAGATGATGCTGTGAAATTGCTGCACTCAATATGTCAGCAAATTTGGAAACTCAGCAGTGGCCACAGG